TCAGACTCCCAATGGCCTCGGAGTCTTAATCAGACTCCCAATGGTCTCGGAGTCTGATTAAGATAAGCTTGATTTTTGTTTTTATCTTCAGGCAGAGATTACTTTTTCTTCAGCCTTGAGTCCATCTGGGCTGAAGAAAAAGTAATCTCTGCCTGAAGATTACTTTTTCTTCAGCCTTGAGTCCATCTGGGCGCTCTGGTGCCAAATATGCCTAATTGTGGGATTCCATTCCACTGATCCATGCTATGACTCTCCTTCAAGGTCGAACCCACCACGGTGACGAGTCCCAGAAGCTGCAGGTGGCCTGCGATTCTCAATCGCCTCCACCTTACGGTTAAGCTCGTACACCAGACGATTTAAAGTTCCCACAGCGAGGACCAGACCTTCACACTGACTCGGAAGCTTTTCCATGGCCGAAACTGCAGCCGATGTCTCCTTCAAAAGTTGATAAAACAGAGCCCCGCCAATGCCAAAAAAGCAGAGACCCTGCTATCATAGATCCAAATATGTAAACGTCTTCAACATCCTCCTGAGACAGGACTGTAATGCACATCAATTGCCACACTCCCACGAATCCGTGACATACCCCACAGCGTGAGTCTCAGCTGGACATGCTGGTTCCCCAGGACCTTGTCGTTTTGATGAAAAAATCTTATCAATAGAGTTGAATGCCCACAATACCAAATCCATAATCTTCTTAATTTATGTTCGGGAGATGAGACCCAGGCGCTTCAGACACACAGAGAGCAGAGCAGGAAGAAGGAAAAAGGGGGAGGAGAAACAGAAGCTGCCACCTCAATGAGAGCCTGGGAGGAAAATGATCAGTGATGTAATGTAACAAAATAGAAAAACTTTGTTATTGTAAAGTAGAATTTTGGCATATCTTTACTTTGTAATTTACATTTCTAGCAACTTTCACTTTTACTCCAATACATTTCCCTTAACCATCTTAGTTACTTGTTCCTACAATATAAAATTAGAAGAAACCTGATTGGGTAATGCCTGTTTGTTCTCCCAGTCTGTTACTTCACGCAGCCCCTTTGCTCTCCCTCACTGACACTCACTCACAAACCCAGCCCCTCTCCCACTGCTTGTGTGAAAACTGTGGTTCATACTGTGAACAAACTAGATACATATGCCTATATTAGTTGTTACAATAGGTCTTTGGTGACTCACAGTGGAGCCACTATAAATTCCTGATAGATGTGAAAATGACGGTAGCTGCTAAAAAGGAGAGGTTGGGTGTTCTCCAGGACATTATATGGTCAGAGCAGCAAGGTATGAAGTTGTCGGGCCAACGCGAAGACATATATCCAGTTTGGGGTGATTTGTTTGCTGTGTTTATTCTGCTATTTACACACAGCAGTAAACCAGTAAAGCGCAAACAGTTTGATCAACAAGGCTGCGTCCGTGTCAGGAGAGAAAAAACAACAACCTCCAACTGAGCTCTGCACTTTACACAGAGCGGTGCATTCATTAGCATTGGAACAGCCATGGTGCATTCAAGAGCATAGGAACTATTATATTCAGAAAGAAACAAGCCATAACCAAACAGAACCTAGATCAATAAACAACTACACAACAATGTGGCCTTTCTAAAAGCTTTGTTAAAAAAGGTTAAAAAAAGGTTGAATGAATATCATTAGAATCAGACTTTTTAAATATCAGTCTTTCATTATAATGAACCCATGTATCAATGTAATCTAATAAATGTTGTTTTGAAAAGTCTAACTATTCACTTTTACTTAATACTCTTAATTTTAGTACATTTTATATGAGGAATTTACTTTTGATGCTTAAGTTCATTAAATGTCAGATACTTTACCATACCATACCATACCACTTTATTTATAGAGCACTTAAAACAGCTACAAGGCCAACCAAAGTGCTACACAGACAGAACAACAGGTAACACACAAAGCAAAATACAAAATGAGGTAAATCAGAATATAGACATAAAATCGATGCAGATAATAAATATGACGACAAACCAGTGTGGAGCATACGGGATCAAAACACAGATCATCTGGTGTTGAAAGCCACCGAATAGTAGTGGGTTTTTAAACGGGACTTGAAAACCGAGAGGGAGGGGGCCTGTCTGACAAGCAGAGGTAACTCTTTCCAAAGTCTTGGTCCTACTACAGAGAAGGCCCTGTCACCTCTGCGCTTAAGACAAGTTCCTGGAACTGTGAGGAGCAACTGGTCTGCTGACCTCAGGGAGCGTGGTGGGACATACGGTTGTAGCAGATCAGAGAGATGGGGGGGGTGGGGGGGGCGACACTGTTCAGTGATTTGTAGAGAATTTTGAACTGGATTCGAAAGTGAACCGGCAACCAGTGCAGTGAGGCCAAAACTGGTGTAATGTGCTCTCTTTTGCCTGTACTGGTTAAAAATCGTGCTGCTGCATTCTGGACAAGTTGTAGTCGTGCAATGGAGGTCTGACTGATACCAAACAGGAGCGAATTGCAGTAATCAAGTCTAGATGTAATGAATGCAACTATTACTGTCTCCAAGTTATTTTTGGACAATATGGGCTTCAGTTTAGACAGCCGGCTCAGTTGGAAGAAACATGATTTAACAATCATGTTTACATGATTGTTAAGTTTCAGGAAAGGGTCTATTATCACACCCAGATTAGTGACTCTTTGTTTATCTGACAGGGTTAGAGCGGAGAGGTCGATGCAGTGGTTTATGATTGTGTCGTTGGGAGGGAACAACATGACTTCAAACTTCTTTTCATTGAAACTTAAGAAGTTTAAAGCCATCCAGTCCCTGATGTCAGCCAGGCAGTTGAGCAGAGGTTGAATAGAGCATGTACCATTGTGTCTTAGGGGGAAGTAAATTTGACCGTCATCGGCATAGAAGTGGAAGGGCATGTTGTGTTTCCGGAAAATAGCACCAAGCAGCAGCAGATATAAAGAGAATAGGAGGGGACCCAGGATGGACCCCTGCGGAACCCCCCCATTTAAACTCTGCATCTGCAGAACTAAAATCCTTGATGGAGACACAAAAGGATCTGTCAGCGAGGTAAGATCTGAACCAATTGAGGGCTGATCCTGTGATGCCCACCCACTGCTCTAACCTAACAATGAGGATCTCATGGTCGATGGTGTCAAAGGCGGCTGTGAGGTCCAACAGGACAAGCAGCACAGAATCACCAGTATCTGTGGATCTCAAGATGTTGTTAAAGACCTTCAGCAGGGCAGTTTCAGTGCTGTGGAGAGGTTTAAAGCCAGATTGGAATAGCTCTAAGATGGTGTGACCTTCCAGGAAGCACTTCAACTGGGACTCAACTATTTTTTCCAGTAGTTTAGAAACAAATGGGAGTTTAGAGACAGGCCAGAAGTTGGATACGACTGAGGGGTCAAGGTTTGTTTTTTTCAGGAGAGGTTGGACAGCAGCATGTTTAAAGGATTTTGGCAGCACGCCAGCGGATAAACTACTGTTTACTATATCAAGAATGGACAGACCTAGAGTAGGAAAAACTTCCTTTAGTAGTCGAGGGGGGACCACATCAAAGGGGGAGACAGAAGGTTTCAAGCTGCACATGACCTACTCTAGAGAAGATAGAGTGATGGGTTCAAAATGATCAAATAGAGCTACAGATTGAGGTAGGATGGACAGGTCATGAGTTTGAGGGGAAATGAGAGCCCGGGTGG